TGCAAATTAAGGAGAATTGAGCAATAATACATGTCTAAGAATTTAAAACTGATCAACGAGGTTAAAAGATCATATATATACTTACATAAACATAATAATCACACACAATCAGAATATATAATCATGTCCATAATCACACACACTCAAAAGTATTCGCATACCCATAAACATATATGATAATAATATTACTTCAACCGATTTCTCTTCTTTTGCAATGAGTTTTACGATAGTAGGTAAATGTTAAAAATCAAGGATTCCCAAAAAGAAGAAGATGGAATGAAAAACTGAATCTTTTATTAAACTGAAAATAATTCAGCCTTTAAATAGGCATTACAAGATAATATTATCTAAAAAGATAACTAGCCAATCTTATTTAATCTAATTTAAATGATAACAACCTAAAACAAATAAATAACTTAAACTTCTTAAAATATAAAGATAATGGCTAAATAATAGGATCTAATTTCCAACAATCCCTCCCTTAAACTGAAAATCTTCAGACTTTAGTTTAAAGAAATATGGATAATACCATAAATGTAGATTTGCAATCTGGAATCTGCAAACCCTCCCTCAAACTGAATTCTGCATGCTGCAAACACCAAGTAACTCTCTCAGTTTTAAAAAAACTGTTGCTTTGAGGGGTTTTGTGAATATATCAGCCACTTGATCTTTTGTTCTGCAATAAATCAACTCAATTGTTCCATCTTCTACCAAGTTGTGTAAGAAATGATACCTCACATGTATATGCTTGCTTCTCCCATGCAAAACTGGATTTTTAGAAAGCTTGATAGCTGAACTGTTATCACAATAAATTGAAGTGGCCTCATGTTGATTCAGCTCAAGTTCTTCCATAATTCTTCTCAACCAAATAGCTTGATAAGCACAAGAAGTTGCTGCCACATATTCCGCTTCTGTTGTGGACAAAGTCACAATGGGCTGCTTCTTTGAAGACCATGAAATTGCACCAGATCCCAACATAAAAACAAACCCAGAAGTGCTTTTTCTGTCATCAAGATCTCCAACATAATCATTGTTTGTAAAGCCTCCGAGATCTGTCTGGTCACCCTTCTTGTAGAATAGCCCAAAATCTACAGTTCCATATAAATACCTGAGAATTCTTTTAGCAGTTTGCAAGTGCAACTCCTTTGGATGCTCCATATATCTGCTAATCAGACTTACACCATGCATTATATCTAGTCTTGTTGCTGTCAGATACATCAGACTTTCAACAATCTGCTTATACAATTTGCTGTCCACAGATCTACCTCCTGGATCTTTCACGAGCTTTACACCTTTATCAATTGGTGTAGTGACAGAATTGCAGTTCTTCATTTAAAATCTATCCAAAACTTCCTGCACATATTTCTTCTGACAAACAAAAATTCCAGAATCTGACTGTACTACTTCAAGACCAAGAAAATAATGCAACAAACCCAGATCTGTCATTTCAAATTCAATCTTCATGTACTGCTTGAACTTTTCCAACATGCCAAAATCATTCCCAGTATAAATTAAATCATCAACATATAAGCATACTATAATCAATTTACCTCCATCTCTAAATTTGATGTAAAGTGTATGCTCATAAGGCACTTTTGAAAACCTTCCTTTAAAAAATAAGCATCAATTCGACTATACCAAGCTCTAGGTGCTTGTTTTAGTCCATATAATGCTTTCTTCAATTTGTAAACCTTATGCTCAGAACCAAATTTTACATAACCAGGAGGTTGATCAATAAATACCTGTTCTTGCAAATTTCCATGCAAGAAGGCAGATTTCACATCAAGCTGATAGATCGGCCATGAGTTCTGTGCTGCCAATGCAATCACCAATCTGATGGTATCCATCCTTGCAACTGGAGCAAAAACTTCTTGATAATCAATGCCAAACTCTTGCTTGTAACCCTTTGCCACCAAGTGAGCTTTGAATTTGTCAACTGCCCCATTCTCTTTAAGCTTTGTCTTGTATATCCACTTAACACCAATTGTTTTGTGCCCTTCTAGAAGATCTGTCAACTCCCAAGTCTGGTTCCTTTCAATAGAACCAATTTCTTCTGCCATGGCTTTTTGCCGCTTTTTGCCACTTTTCTTCTTTAACAGCTTCTTCATATGTCAATGGATCACAATCTACAAATAGAGCAAAATGATTAATTGGAACATCATCTTGAGGTAGATCTGTTACCTCATAATCTTCCAACCATGCTGGTCTTCTTTTTTTGTGTTGAGGTCTGGAACTAGTTCCAAATTCTAGTTCTGGTGTTGTTGGCAGACTTCCTCCAATACTGAGCTCTACTTCTGTAGGCAGATTTTCTTCAGCTGTCTGTCTTGAAACCTCGAGATCTGTTGAAGTTTGACCTTCTGAGTTCTGCATAGTCAGATCTTCTCCATTTTCGAAATCTGCAAGAATTTGTTGCTTAGATTTTTCTGTCCAAGACCAAGTGCTTGCTTCATCAAACACTACATCATGACTAATGATGACCTTCTTGGTTAAAAGATTGTATAATCTGTAAGCTTTGGATTGATCACTAACACTAAGGAAAATACACTTTTCCCCTTTGTCATCAAGCTTACTCCTTTTCTGATCTTGCACATGTGCATATGCTATGCACCCAAAAATTCTGAAGTAATCAACACCAGGTCTACGTCCACTCCAAGCCTCTTTTGGCGTCAAATCTGGAAGTGGAGATGTGGGACTTCTGTTCAAGATATGAACACTCCAATTAACAGCTTCTGGCCAAAACTCCTTAGGCAAGCCGCTCTTTGTCATCAGACTTCGCACCATATTCATGATTGTGCGATTCCTCCTCTCACATACACCATTCTGCTGAGGTGTATAGGCTGTTGTGAGTTGCCTTTTAATGCCATGGGACTCACAAAAATCTGCAAATTCCTTTGAATTAAACTCACCACCATGATCTGTCCGCAGAACCTTTACAAATCTGCCAACCTCATTCTCAGCCAAGACTTTGAAATTTTTAAAAGCTGCTAAGGCTTCTGACTTGGTTTGCAAAAATACATCCATGTTTTGCGATTGTGATCATCAACAAAGGTAATAAAGTATTGTTTACCTCTATTGGATGTTGGATTTATGGGTCCACACAGATTCGAATGAACCAGATCTAGCACCTGCTTTGCTCTCCAAGATCTATCTTTAGGAAAGCTGTCACGGTACTGTTTACTGACCACGCAGATTTCACAAATTTCTGAAGGAGAATCAAAATGAGGAAGACCATTTACCATCTTCTTTTGCTGCAAAGCTTTCAACCCACCAAAATAAAGATGTCCAAATCGGCAATGCCATAACCAAGCTGTGTCCTTTAATCTAGCAGATAAACATGACAGATTTGTGGTCTGCAAGTATAATGGAAACAACCTATTTCCCGTCATCTTGACCTTTGCAATCAGGCCAAGTTTTGAATCACGAATTTGGCAAACTCCATCTTTAATAAGGATTTCATATCCTTTTTCCTAAAGCTGTCCCAATCTAAGAAAATTTGACTTCAAATCTGGTATATACAGAACATTAGAAATAGTCTGAATTGAATTGTCTTTGGCACGAATGGTTACCTTTCCCCTTCCCTTGACTGCAATAGTGGAATTATCACCAAATTTCACCTTGTCTTGACAAGACTCATCCAAATCTAAAAACACAGATTTGTCTCCACACATGTGATTGCTGCAACCAGTATCCAGATACCACACATTCTTCTTGCTGACTTCTTTAGGATGACAGACCACGAATAGAGAGGAATCGTCATTCTTCTCATTGTGTTCTGCAAAATTGGAACTTTCTCCTCTATTCAGATTAGCACGGCACTCAGAACGATAATGGCCATACTTATGACATCTGAAGCATTCAATATTTGCCTTTCTTGCAGATTTGGATCTGTTATCTGCAGCTTGATAATTTCTGTTCTGCCACCTCTTCTGAATTCCAGTGGCTGAACCTTCCTCCAATCTATCAGATTTCGGTCTGCCAGATCTTGGTCTGCCTTTCCATATTTCTTTTCCTCGACCTACAGCCCTTGAATTAACTGTGGTCTGCAAGGCTTGTGTCTGCAAAATCTGCACTGCTTGCTCTTGCTTGTCTTGGTGATTTATCTTCTGCTCATGAATTAACCATGAATTCTGC